CATAGCCAGAAATCCCGTACAGTCAGCGGCTCGAACGGCGGGCGCGTAAATTTCTGCATTCAAGATGGCGGATAAACGAAGAGGAAAGCATTCCCAAGGCTATTATCGGAGCTTAAATGCTCTCAATACGGCAGATTTCATTGAGAGTCGGTGGAAAAGGAAAAAAGGCCCTTACTTTCAAGTGGAAAGAGTTTTAAGCTGCAGGAGAAATAAAGGAAAGGTAAATAAGACGCTTGTTTGAAGCACGTAACGTCACTAATGAATTGATAACCTTGTGTACACTTTTTACCGCACACATAAACAAGTGTTCTATGTATTTTGTCTTTAAGAATGAGTACCTAATTCGTTGGAAAGGGTACAGTTCGCTGGAGGACACGTGGGAAGTGGAGGAAAACCTTAATAAAACCGCAATAAGGTGCTTCTTTTAGCATTATTTTGTCCAGTCAAAATTAAACGTACGAACTTAATTTTTTACTACTCCTCGATCTAGTACGAAATAGTTTGGGACACGAGAAGAGAAGATAACAATTTTATGTCATCTTTCGCATTATAAGCAATTTTGTTAGTGTTTTTATTTGGTTATTGTTTCACTTTCTGCAAAAATATTGCATGTATTTTAGACAATAATGGATCCCAACTATTTTCTTTAGGGCATTTAGAATGTCCAAACCCTCAGAGGAAAGAATTAAAGAGGGATCTGATCTACTGGCAGTTGCTATTCTCCAGCATCTCAAGAGCAAACATCAGACAGCCTCAGCCACAACTGTAGTAGAAATTAGACATGATGTCTTTAATTATATTTTTAGAGGACGAGGAAGACCCAGCACAAAATCTGGTTGTACTTTGTTAGAGAAGACTGACTTTAACCGCTGTTCTTTTTTAAAAGAATGTCCCGACTGGGACTCTTACATAGACAACCTTGGAGATGGCACACAAGTCATATTTCCAATTAGAGCAAAACCTTTTGTGAGCTTGGGACCACAGACACATAAACTTGTGGAGGGGAAGCTTGTACCTAAGCCCAGATACCATCTCGAAAAAGTAAGTTTAAGTTTTAACAAGCGCTCAATTGCAGTATTGTGATTGAAACTGAGAATGTGAATGCATGCTTTTAGATGGGTTTAGGTACAAGCTAATACCCTGCTTATTAAGCGCATTAATAACCCTGCTTCTAAGAAATTATGTTGTTATGTCAAGTCAGAAAGTTACATAAAGGCTTTGAAATTGTTGTTTATATTTGTTTATATTTTGAAGATTCCTCTGTTTATGTGCATGCTTTGTAGCTGCTCAGGCTAGACTCTTTTTTTTTTCTGTTTTGTTTGTTTACCCTTTCCTTTCCCTTTTCTGTTTCCTTTTCCCCCATCGTCTATATGCCTTTTTCTTTTATTTCCCGGCCTTTCATGATCTGTGCCATTTCTTGCTTGGGGTTGTTCATTCTGAACTTGTGATGTAGATGTGTCTGGCGAGTTGTTGCTTTCCATGTTGGGTATGTTTGCTTCAGGTTGTCTCTTTTTACCCGCACGCTTGACACTGATTTCTTGCTCCCAGTATTGAGAATTGTGTTTTGTGTACTTTCTGCTTGCTCTTTCTCTTTCTCTTAGAAGCCATTGTCTGTTTTCAAGTCTAAGAATATCTCCAACTGAGTCAAAGTGGTTTGATTTTCGAAGCACTACATTCCTTGCTGAGTCATTGTTTTTCTCAACTCCTTGACCAGTGAATACTTTTAGAGATTTATGTGTATGGAGGAAATAAGGGACATGAGCAAAAAGTACATGCATATATGGAGTAATTCTCTTTCTTTCATAGCCAATTCTCTTTCCTCTGAGAGAAATAAAGGTCTCCAACCAGTTTTGTGCCTTGTGCCAAAAAGTGTCAACAGATTTGTCTGAGGACCAGGAATTTATGTCTTCATACAAACTTCTGAAATCACTCCACACCTTGGATATTTCAGTGCAGGTATTTGGCTGCAGCACTTTACAGAGATTTTCTGGTAGCAAGGAGAGAATTTTCTTCTTGTCGTTTCCAAACAGACTTGTAAATTCATACTTTCCAGTGCCTTTATTGTCAGCTGGATTTCGGAGTTCCCAAACATCAAAACCCACACCATAGGATCTGATCTCACTCACGAGCTTTTTCAAATGGATGCCTTGAGGCTCTTTGGATGATTTTTCGAAATCTTCAATCTTATCCCAGTCAATGACTTCAGTGATAATGTTGTCTAGCATCACATCCATTACACGTAGCAGCAGGTGTAACTCATCTACAATGACATGGTCAAGGTCTATGTTCAAAAGTGGTTCCTTCACACAGCAGTAATCACCTTTTCCTTTCTTCACCAGCTCCTTAATTTCCAATAGTGTTCTCATCATTGGTGGTGAATTAAAGTGATGGAAATGCTTGTCTGTTTCCCACCTTTTGTCTTTATGGATTTTACACCATAGGCAGGCATATAAAGATGTAGCCCCCTTAAGTCCCATGACTGTCAGTAGAAATTTATAGTCCCCTCCTAGGAAAAACTCAAGCTTAACTTCTTGACCATCAACACTAATAGTGCCTTTGTCAATCAGAGAATTTATTTCTGAAAATGTAGTCTTGAAAGATACCTGTAGTGTTTCATACTTTTCACTACCATTGACTACTGCAATGGTATGATTTCCTTTGGCAGACATAACTTCGTCTTGTTTCTGGAGTAGTGCACAAGAGAGAAGAATGTAATTAGATTTCTGTGTCATTTTAGCTCCATCCCCACTGATTTTTATTTTTAGTGTTTCATTGCCAAAATCAAACTCTGGATTTTCCTTTTTAAAAGCTGAAATTTGCTGCAAGAGAAGTGATTCAAATGATACTTGTGCACCTTCATTTGTTCCAGGAGTAGGTGTCACATGACAAAGTTTGTCCAGATCATTTCTGCATTGTTTAATCAGATAAGATCTTGGAAGACCATTTTCAATCATGCTAAATTCGTGGTAAAATTCATCACTGACACAGAATTTATCAAGAAGATAAAGAATTTGTTCAACTTTTTCCATGTCGGAATCGTTTATGTTAGTAACAGGATTTGAACATTCGCCTGATTTTTGTGCTTTGGTTTCAACATTTACTTCGTATGTTTTCCCTGTGTCTGCCTCTTTAACTCTAAGTGATTCAACATGAAGGCCAAATGCTTGTGAAAACCACAAAGCTGTTTCAGCTCTAGTCAGGAAAGCCTTCAATGTGCGCTGTCTGTTCTTAGTCTCAGAAATTTTTTTTCCATTGTAGGAAAACCCTTCATCTTTCTCAAGGCATTTGATATACTCTTGAAGTTGATTGTTGGTATTTTGAAGTTGACATAGTTCCTTACCCATTCTGTTGATAGTGTCCTTCATTTCATCAAAAAGGTTTTTTTTTTCTGCCTCCAGGTTTGCATGTGCTGCTTTCCATTCTTGTAGATCATTTTGTAGAGAAACTACCTCATCTTCAACCTCTTGAAAAGAAGCTAATTGGTCTTCATGTAAATGAAATTTCAATGTTTTCTCATCCAATTGCTCCCAGTTTCTCTTACCTTTATTTGTGCGATACAGTGATAGAACATTTGCTGCTCTTTTTGCAAACTGCTCATGGACATTTTGGCGTGTACCCATGTCATCTTTGATTACAAATGCATGTGCTGGTGTACACATATCAATTAAATCTGGAAACATTAGCTTTCTTCCATCATTGACATAGTAAAACTTGGCCTTCCCATTGCTTTTGGTATATAGAATTCCCTGGAGGCCTCTATAGTTCCAGAGGAAGTTGATATTCTCAGAGTTGTTTGTAGTTTCTAAAAGAAAATTTAAAAAAATAATCAATAAAAACAAACATACTCTCAGGCATAAATCAATCAATCAATGGACAGTATAGAAGAGAATCCTGGCTTTATACACTGTAAATAATCATATTGACTGAATATATATTTAAAAGAAAATTAAAGGTGAGTGAGATTTGAACCCACAAAAAAAGTATCCACTGAA